CAAGAAGATAATTGGCTCCAGAATTTATCACTACCTGCCAGTTGTTTTGATGATTCCGATCTTCGATCAGATAATGTTGGTTTCGACATACCAGACGCACTGGCGGCTATGATTCATGAGCAGAAACAGATATACGATGATATTTGCGCCGCTGAGAATCCAAGTCTTCAAGCATCAGCGGAATTTGCCACAAATCATTTCAACCCAACGAATACTATTACTGATGAAAATTCTATGCACTGGAAATCCATTTTCTTTGACAATCAGCGTAAATACGAAATACTGGAAGGTGAAGCTGGCAGAACTGATTCGGAACAGCCTGCAGAAATTACAGCTGGATTTGTGCCCGTAAAGTCTGCTAGCGCATTTGAAATACAAGCTGTAGAAAAATTAACCCCCGAATATTCGAGTCCCTCAATTTCCCGCAGTGCAGAAAATTTCTCTTTTCATGGCTTTCACACATTCGCAATCCAGTCCAAAAAGCAAATGTCACAAACCGAAAAATTCACTACTTATCCGGAAGTTATTACTGGTCAACATACTGCTGAACTGCCACGTATGAACTCGATGGACCCAGTTGCTGTTGTTGGAACGCATACCGATCCGGCTCCCGGGCCAAGTAATGGAATAGCTGAGTACAAGGAGGTAAAGCCGGTGGAACAATTTAATTTTGCCGAATGTCAGTGTGGTTTTATTGAAAGCATACGTTCTCAGAATTCGTTTTTGGATTTCCGCATTCATCTTGAAAGCCACAATCGAAATGGTAAACACTTCTGTAACTGGCGTGGATGTAGCGAGGATTTTGGAGATTACGAGTTACTTGACCAGCATTACTTCAAGCATTTGGCGATTAATCCTGAATTGGCCATACTCCACTGTTCGGACTGCAGTCATTTTTTCTGGTCGCCCAGTTCGCTTACATGGCACCGTAAAACGTATCACAACATAAAAGGTGAGAAAAGTTGCAATGACATACATCAAAGATGGTGCCTGCACGCGCTATTGTGATAAGTTGATTCAAGGCTAAACAAAGAGTAAGTGAGCCAGTGCAATGATTTCCTCATAATTGGTATTTGATGATTTCATTTCATCATACCTGGGTTTTCTTACTCAGTTCATTTTGAGTATACGAAAACTCTCCCAAACAATCGATGTGTGAACCCCACGTTAGCGATATTTCTGGCGTGCTCCCACTCACCGATCGCAGATGTGCTAGGCAGTTCATTTCTAGACTGCATACCTTCAGCTAGTACTTGCCGTCTGTTTGATTCATGTGCGCTTTCTCTTCAACAAACAGTCTGAGCAGTTGTTTGTTCTCTCATGAGTAATACTTACTAATACATTAGGTAACTGTTAAAGACAGTGCTTTTGAAATTTTAGACCTTACGGTTCTTAGATGTTTATGCAAATGCAGTAAATAACCGCAGGGCAGCTGGTACGAACATGCGTTTTGCATAACCCTGTCTAGCGAACGCTTGTGCAATACTGTCCAGCGGACGCTTTTGCAGCCTTGTCTAACTGATGCTTGTGCAACTTTGTTCAGGGAACCTTGCTATTAAAAGTGTCAACTGTAATCTATTTGGTACGATACGTGTTAATTTTGGCACATGAATACGTTAAATACATAAAAGGTGAAGTTTTATGGCAGTGACCTTCGCAAGTTTTCAGCCTCCCCCGCCTTCGCGTACCACGTACGACTCCATGGAAATTTTGGCGGAGAAATTATCTTAGGAACCATAAAAGCTGGAAAGCTAGTATTTTATAATAATGTCCCCTGCCCATGCTCGGACAAGCTAATTTAAATTTGCTTTTCCCCGCTTCCGATATTACTTATAGCCCCACGATAGTTTTGGTGGGGAAATTTATTCTTTCGAGAATCATGAAAGCTAGGAAGCATATAGTGTCTCTATAGCATATAGTGTCATATAGTGTCTCTACTCATACCATCCCAACAGTTTTCATGTACGTCTGGATTTCAAGATTTCCGCAAAAGTTTTGGCAAGATGGACTAGAAAACTGAGAACTTCAAGAGGATGTTTCTGCCTATACAGGGGCATCATAAACTCAAGTTTAGTTCCAAAGTATGCCGAGATCGCAAGTACGATTACGTGAAAGTCCTGGCGCGAAAGTCACTCGAAAGGCAGAAAATTAGGAGGTTGAAATTTTGGAAGCATTTTTGCCGCCTAAGTTTTCAAATTCAGCTTTCACGTACGCTTATGCTCCGCTTACTGATGCGCGAAAGTTTTAGTGGAAAATTTCGCAGCTTAAAAATCAGGCGACATATTAACCATTTTATACAGACCAAAGTGTAAAACAGTGAAAATCCTTAGTAGACAAAAGTTCACTGAATGGTGCACAAGGCATGATCGCGCCACCTGACGTGAGCTGTTATTTATTAATTTTGGCGCCAAAACTAGTGCCCGAGCATGCGCGAAAATGAATTTATTCGTGAGCAAGGAGTATTATCCCTTAAATTCCAGCCCATAGCTTTGTGGTTCCTCAGTTATTAATTTTAGCGTGAGAACTTTTGCGCATCCATATCTGAGATCTAGGCGTGCGCAGGGGCTGAACTTGTATGGGTGCAGGATTATTGAAGCTTCCTTTTGGCGTCCAAAAATTCCACGTTTCCCTACATGAACTCTAAGCATGTGGAAAACCAAATTTGAAATTGAGAAGAATGACTCATAGGCGAGCGTGAGTCATTCTCTTAAATTTTCAGCCCCCTAACTTTCCTACACACAAGTCAACGCTGAATGTAACTTTACGTGGACACTCGCGGGCAAAGAATTTCAGTTTCCTACCTTCTGTGTTTTCCGAGTTATCAATTTAGGCACCAAAACTTTCACGTAGCCGTACATAAAACCCAGGCGCGCCAGGACAATGAACTGAGTTTGCAAGATCACATGCCGTTAAAGATCCCTCTTAAAATTACAGCTTCCTAGTTTCCCTGGCTTCCGAACTGAAACCACGGATAAAATGCACTCAGAGCACACACTCACACAGACACACACATAACAAACATACATACATGTGCGCATACAAAACGCACACGCGCAGGTAAACACACGTACACTCGGCATACAATTTTGGATTTTTGGAGGAATTTTGCCCATTACTTCATCCCTTCCTTATGAAACTATGTTTATTCCTGTTTAGGCCAGTATCAATGTCAGTACAGTGGCTGCGGTCGGTCATTTGAAAAACGAAAAGGCCTTTGTCGTCACAGGCAAACTCATAGCAGCATACACTCTGTGAAATGCGTGTGGCCAGGATGCACGAGAATGTTCGAAAAAGAAAGCGGGATGAGAGTTCACTTGCGTTTTCATTCAGCAAAAGCCTCTGGTCATTCCAGCTCCACAAACAGTATTCTCGGATACAGAAGCCCTGCAAATGATTCGTCAGCGAACCGTTCTTCATGAAAATAAAAAGAAATTAGCGAAGTATCCGCATGAACAAGCTCTTTTCTTTTTCATAGTATTGTAAAACCAAAATGGTATATATTTATTTGTTACTATCATAACCGTTAAACGTAAAGCATCTACTTGGAGCAAAAATTTTATCAGGCAGTCCAGAATTATGACAGCAAGACAGAGAATTTCGTTGAAAAAAATTTGACACTTTGATCATTATTGTTTTCCCATCCGCATTTCTTCTTGCTAGTGGCACAACCCGCAACTTTCCCGTTTTTCTCTATTTTGTGCTTCTCTTATCCGAACAATTTCATACTGTCTTTCGGATATTGCAGTGATAATAAATAAATGGGGGTTGGGAGGGGTGCATGTGGGAGCGGAGACCTAAGTTTTTTGAAAGCAAAAGTGATAAACAGAAAAAAAGAAGTGGAAATTGCATCTCGAAATCGATCGAGACAAAGCTGTATCACTCCCAGAGATGGAAGCATTTCTTACTCATTTTTCCTGAACATACATGGATAAAGCCATTTGTGACCTGTCTTAAAATGTTTCGCCTTGTACTATTTTACATTGTACTATTACTTTATCAATATCTATCGCATGCTGAGTGGCAAGAATTATGAAAATCATGAACTGTGACTGATAAGAATTATGATAATCATGTATTTCTGCTCTTACTTTAAAGCAAATGAATCGTTTACAACTGTGAATGGTTGTAGTTTTGAAGTTTAACACATGCACACATTTTGGCATTGCTTTTCGTCCATTGATACATGTAGTGGGAGAGGAGCGTCGGTTAATGGATAGAACGATAGTGCTGCACCCAGTATGCATGATTATGGTGAAGTTGCCGACGATTTTGCGCCCTCAAATTGCCACATATGCAGATGAGACGTAAGCGTTTGTGAAAGATGATATTTCGGCTTTAGCGCTGGGCAAGAGCTGCAAATTCTCATGAATTTTGTGCTACCCCACCTGTCTGATTACAGAAAGAGAAAAATGGCGAAAGCATTGCAGTTTGAATATTTCGTCACCTACTCTCAACTTGGCAGTCGGAAAAAAGCTAGGAAGTCAAAATTTTAAAAGCATATGCGTTACTTACTCGTTCAAAAACTAACGCGTGGTATTGCGTGCAGGCGCTAAAAGGAAAACGTAAATTTTTCAGGGGGAAACGATTTCGGAAAACAGATAAAAAAGAAAGCTGGAATTCCACACAAACATTTTTTACTCCTGTGCCACACATATGGATATGCCAAAGTTTGTCGTGGCATAGTGCTAATTCAATAATTAGCGAAAGAAGAATAGCTGAAATTTTGGCGAAAATGTCTGCCGTTTGTACAGGAACTCGCACCCTCTAACTGGATTATAGACTGTAGCCGCGTCTCATATAAGGGTAGGCTAAATACATTTTGGTGAACTAGCAACTTCGAGAACCAGTCATGCTAGGAGGTTGAAATCTAGCAGATATTCTCTACCTATGTGCCATTTAAAGATTTTAAATTCAGTCTTAAAGCAGCCTAGGTCACGCACTTTGCGCGAGTAGACTTTCAACTTTAAAAATTTCGCCTTTCTACTTAGTTATGATTTCGACATTCAGCATCGCAAGACTGCCTAGGATGATGCTTTACCTCGTACCATCGCAAAGCAACTCAATGACTGGCCAAATGAAAAAGTTGTCGCTGCTGTCAGCGAAGCAGCTGAAACTCAAATCCAACGAGATTCCTGAGACTGCTGAAAAAATCTACAAAATGATCTTCCCCTGCAGCGAGTTATAAAGTTACTTCAAATTGCCCATTTCGTTGCCAAGTCGCGTTTCAAACCACATTTTTTCTTTTTATGGATTCTCCGACGTACTGAGAGAGAGAAAACTGTTATTCCAACAAAACTTTAAACAACTGCCCTTGGTTATCTTCACCGAAGCCAAATCGAGGTATTAGCTGAATGAATAGCCTTGTTCGCAGCCACACATATTGACCTGGAATCAACAACATCGAGAACTTTGTCAGAGAGCTTGTAATTAATGTCAATTAACAGCCAAATCTCCATGCAAGCGGAGCTATTTTCTTTGCGTTCAACTGAACGATCTTGATATCCGTATGGATTATACTCGACCTTTTTCCGGTCATTATTTCTTAGTTATATCGATTTTACTCGAGACGGCTTGCAGTTTTTATTGCAGTTAAAACGGCTAACACAACAACTATTCGCCTTCTTAAAGAAGTTTTTTCTTGTCTTAGGATGCCCAAAACCCTTGTTTCAGACAACGGTACTCAGTTTACCTCTTCTGGACTTCATCATTTCTGCACTTCCAACAAAATCAACCACAAAAAAGCGTTGTCTTCCATCCTCAGTTAAACGGGGCGTCAGAACTACTAGAGTGTTGTAGGCGTGAATGGTAAGTGAATTTGAAATTTTTAATCTGTACATGCGCAGCGGGCATTTTAGCACAATTTCAGCTGCAAGTCAACTGATTCTCGGAATCGTTTCCTTGCCAACAAACATTTTTATTCAGTTGTCCTTTGCAATTGGTCCTGAGTGTAACCAAACTTTGATTTTTTACGTTAATTTTTACTTTGATTTAAGATTACATGGAGCAGG